AACCATAGCAAAGAACTGACTCCACCAATGTTCTTCCAAGTCTCTTTTTAGTTGTTGCAGATAAGTTTCGGTCCCACCAGAGGCTGTTAAGACATCCAATAACTTGTTTGCTCTTCTGAATTCGGGTTTGTATTTCTTCTTTGCCCAAACCCTCGTTGTTGATAGTAGCACCCAGGTATTTAAATTTGTCTACTTGTTAATCTGGACGTTATCATTAATGAAGACTTCAAAACAAGCGTTGGAATTGACAGCTAAGTATTCGGTCTTCTTTAGACTAACCTGAAGTCCCCATTTGTTGTATTTTTGATAAAGCCTCTTAGTCATGAACTCTAGATCGTATGAGTCCTGCGCAATCACGACCTGATCGTCTGCAAAGCTCAGGGTAAATAGTGTGTTGTCCCCAATAGGTATTCCCATACCTTGACATTTTGTCTTCCATTCCCTTAGGGCTACTTCGACGTAAGCGTTGAAGATCAGAGGAGATAAGCTGCATCCTTGTCGCAACCCTTTTGTGGTGTTAATTGGATTAGATAGCCTGTGTCATAACTTAACGTACGATTCATTTTCTTTATATAGCTCTTTTATTATCTTAAGCAAAGGTCTATCTACTTCTAAGATATTCAATACTTCCCATATCTTGCTGCGGGGAATAGAGTCGTACGCTTTCTCCAAATCAATAAACGCTAGATGGACTTCTTGATCTACTGCTATCTTTTTTTCCATCACCTGCTGCAGGACAAAAAGGTTATCTGTGCAAGATTTTCCCGGTGTGAATCCGCTTTGGTCTTCCGAGATTTTGTCGTTACGTGGGGTCGTTACGATTTTTATTTTTAAAGATGGACACTATGTGAGCCACTCGCCATTCTCGGGGTAGTTTACTTTGCAGGCAGCACTGGTTAAATAGCTCTGCCAGACGCCAGCGCAGTCTTTGGATTCCACACTTCAACAATTCGGCTACAATATTACCAGGACCTGGTGACCGTCCATTTTTCATTCTTTTGAGACTTTGATGTACTTCTCTTTCGCTTATCATTAAAGTGCCTGCAAGGATGTTCTCATCTTCTACTGCTTGGAATTCTGGTCGGTTTTCTGTCAGTAATTCTGCATAGTAGTTGCGCCATTTTTCTATATCCATTCTATTCAAGAGCTTGTCCGTTTGATTGTTTTTCATTTGTCGGATTGTTCTCCATACCTCAGTACTCCGTGCGCCCCCTATTAGGCTTTCCACTTGCTGGCACCTTCTTTCCTAAATATCTGTTTTTCCTACCTTAATGGCGGCTCGTACCTCTCTATTTTTTTGCTTGTAATGACTCCAGTTAGTATCTGTTCGGTCTGAGAGCCATCTTTGATAGAATTTTTGTTTGTCATTGATTAAGGCCTTTATGCTGTCAGTTATCCAAGCTGGTTCGTTCATTCATGATTAAAAAAGTATACCACTAATATTGCAAATTATATTTCATCCTCTCATAGTATATGTCTATTTAATTTTTTGATTATGTAACGAGCACTTTGTTTACTCATTTGTTTCGTCGAACTGCTTGAATCCATTTTTGCCATTGATCAAATCGGTATAAGAAATTATGAAGCTATAAAATGTTGTTTCGGGAGAGTTGAATATCCGGGAAAGTTGAGTTATTGAATGTTATTGCACCCAACAACGCCCAAATTACGCTCTCGTTTACGCGTTAACATTTTTTTTTAGGCAATTATATTAACATTTCTATTATGTTTCTTGGGGGGTTTATAAAAATTACAAATCATTGACAACTAAACTTATGACATGAGCTTCACTCTTTTTCAGGTATTCACAGGTGGAGGTGTACTCCGATAAATATATAACAATTTCAAATTGTCACAACACAACAAAACGCCTAATTCGAATTCTTTTTTACTTATTTTTTACTATCCAAAACAGCGTTACATCACACAAACCTCGTACCTGAGTGTTTTATAGTCTCAATAACTGCACTAGCAAAAAACTAAAATACTTAAATATTATGACAAGACCCCGTTTTCAATATTATTTTAATGCGATCGACATGACGCGACGGCGGCGTGAACTATATATTGATAATTTCTGATTTCTGCCGTATAGTGCGCTGCGGTCGGAATTTGTTGAAATCAACTGAAATGCACCAAGCCTATAACTAATGTTTTTTTTTCTTTTTAGTCTATATTTTGACAAGAGATTCAAATTAGCTCAAAGTAGTAATAAAAGAAGTCAGTGACTGGAAAAAATTTACCTAATATTGAAATTATTACAATAATTATTCATTATCTTGGAAGGACATACTATAAAGAAGAAGAAAATAGGAATAGGAAAGGAACAGAGGATCGTTAGAGCTGCATCGAAGTTTAAGTTAGATGATGGCAAAGCAAGTTTGCTGACAGCAAATTTGCCATTCACCCGGTAGGAGGAAACCTATTAATAGTAATTAGGTTATTCCTAATACGCTGAGCTGTGAGCACATTTGCTCTTAATAAAGTGTTTATTCTGCAGGCCTCGATAACGACATGGCTTGGTTTGACGCCTATAACAGCCTCCGTACTGCTCGTATTATTATACGCATTAATGTTAATGGCACTCATTATTGCCGCCCCGGAGGTTTATTAATTACCACAAATCGTGACGAATAGACCAAATTTTCTCACAGGCGAGAAAAGCAGACTGACAAATGGCGCGCAATAAAATTGTGCTTTTTCGTTCTCCGCATATTCTGGATTTCGGATGCCCGTGTCGAGTTCATAAATCAATTAATATGTACTCCGTCTTAATTATTCTAATTCGGTTGCAAATAAGATGCAATTAAATGATTTTGCCGTGAATTATTAGCAAGGTTTTGTTATAATTTGCTCTAATTCCTTGCTTACATTAATCAACCTTAGAGAAATTCGATATTTTCGGGAAATTTTAATGACAATTTTTTCCCAAAGTGTTTCTCTCTTTCTCTAATTGTGTCTTTCTTTTATTTAGTTTCTCTGTGGCTCTCGTCTCCTTTGACTCGTGCTGGAGACCGCCTCTAGACCGAGCGCTCTCAAGACGAGGCGAGAGGCACCGAGGCAAGACGAGAGCCCCAAGTACACACTCGCCTCGGGTCCCCTCAGCGAGCATGTACTTGGTACAAAACGTTCAGAGCGCGAGGCGAGAGGACCCGAGAGCAGGCGAGAGCCCCAAGTACATACTCGCCTCGTCTCGGCGAGTGTGTACTACTTGCACCATTACAGAAAGGGTTATTGCGCTTAGACATCATAGAAATAAGTAAACATAGAGGCATTCACATTAATTGTTACCATATTATAACATTTCTTAGTTCCATAGCTAACTAATATAAAGGATTTTTTTACGCAAAGGGTGCATTAAAAGTTCTTTAGAATCTAATATATCATGTTAAGTTTATTTTCGGGTGTCTTTTATTTTTAAAATATTTTTCACTTTTTCCCATTTCCCCGGTTTAACCGGAAGTGGTTGTTATTTTATTCGTAAATATTCGTAATATTTTGAAGTCAACATGAAATTCTAAACACATTTTGGATATAATGTCATATAGCCTATAGTTCATACCAAATAAACTTTGAGTCACGTGATTAAGGTTGACAGGCACAGCACTGCCCACTTTTACATATTTTCTTTTAATCAAAATATTTTAAGAAACAAAAATAAATTAATTATAAATATATAAACAGTTATTATTTACATCCACAAAACTCACCTTCTTAACAACACTTAAGGGATATAAACGGCCATTACTATCGCTTTCCCGTTCAAAATATTCTAATAAAGTTTCGATGAGTTTTTTACGGCTATTAAGCTATCTTGTACACTTGCCACTAAAAGAGGTTCTAAAAAGAACAATGTTCGACTGCAAGGTCTGGTAGTAAACATTTTTTAAGCTTAAAGTATCACAAAACTATTTATTTAAACCAAAAACTCGTAATACAAAACTGAAGTGTCAAAACAAATCACAATGTCAGGAAATAAATAAATAAATATAGCAACTTGACATTTTTTACAGCAGGGCTACCACCTGAATCCCCAGCGGGAAATTTAAATTCCTGTTAGTCAACCCGGCGCCGAATATGTCCATGGTTGGAAACAATGAATTTAAAAATCGCGCCCTCGATTACGTAACTAAAAGTTTAATTGATATCAAATATAAGTTTATTCGTTTATGAAATAATTATAACTTTATATCAAAAATTACATTTGCAGGGCTATAGATAAATAAATATATTTTAGTACCAATGAGTAGTTTCCATAAATTGTATCTCTTCGCACAGAGATAATTATTACTAGTAATTATCTTCTATTTTTCAGTCGAAATTTAAAAAACATCATAAAGATATATGCAAATTATTAAACAGAATGATATAATATAGTCCTGATTTTAATGTTATTTAGCATAAGTATAGAGACGTATTAATTGATATTGGGTAGAGTAGAGTTGTTACAATAATTTTAACTGAAGCAATTGGCAATTAATAAATGGAATTGCACCATAAAAACGAATGAAAATTAATTATTTGTTGTTATTTGAACTCAGCGAATGTAATAACTGTTTTTGTGTCGCTTCCTGCGTGAGGTTTATAACTTTCGGACAGGTATTGACTATATGATATACTCTAGTGAAAATGTAATAATATCAGTAATTAATAAATATTATAGTTTATTGCAAATTATTGCAAATACTAGGCTTATTTGTAGAGAAGGTAATTTGAATTATGCCCGGGCAATCAATATTCAAATTTGCGAGGGCACAGCATTTATAATGAGTTGTAAATATTACATTTCTGTTATGATGCGGGCTCAGGTGTGGCTGTTTCACTAACGAAAATCATTTATTAATCCCTTGTTTATAAACCAAAATCGGCTAAGCCATTCTATACATAAATTCCACGTCGGGAATTATTCTGTCCACTTTTCTTTTTCGATAAATTACAATGCGTTTCTTAATAATTATCGATTTGTTTGTCATATTTTATACAGCTTATTTATATTTCAGCTCTGACTGATGGACCCCGCTTTGTCGAACCTATACCAAATGTGACAGTACCTTTGGGCAGGGACGCCAACCTACCATGCGTCGTGGAGAATTTAGGCACTTACAAAGTAAGAAAAATTAAAAATTGTTCGTCGCATACTATGTGGTGAATAAAATAATGTCACAGTAAACTTAGATATAAGTCAATGAAAGTTTCACCTATCGATTGCTCATTGTCACAACATATACTTTCTAAACGTTAAAATTAGAATTAAAAATTTAAATAATCTCCAAATAGAAATAACACTATTTTAGTTTAATAGTAACAAAGTCAAGAACTTCCAACTAATGTTAACATATAAGTAAACTTGTATTTAAATATAATTCTAATATAGGTACTGTGGCGTTGTTTTTATTTAATCACAGCGTTAGCATTCTTAGAGTTATAAAAATAGTTAATAAATAATTTAAAAATAAATTGTTTTCTACAACTTTTCAAAGGTGAGATGAACCGCTTATTTAAAAATAGACATATTTCTTTAAATTCAAAATATTCAGTTTTAAGTCACTCTGTATACATAAATTCGTAAACTAGGAAGAGGAAAATCAGACCACGACCAGAGATAATAGATGTTAGGTAATAGCTGTTAGACTACCATTCGAGACGCATTGATGTTATTTTGGTTGGTTAGTCTTGTGACAAAAAATGTTATTAAAGGTGAAGTAATGTTCTCTCATTACTTAACTAGTGTTAACTAACGCATAATATAGCTTATTAATTTGTCTGTTGTAATATTCTGGTGCTAAATATTTTCATTATTTATTTCATCTGAGAAATATATCATATAACATGTGTATGTATTTAATGGAATCGATTATGCTGTGAATAATTTCAGTTTAATCTAAATGCAATCATTTACTGTCCATTCGTGCCGATGTTTGTGGTTCAGTGTGAGAATAAGGGCCTTGTTGAGTGTACTGACATTTTTCGACCGTGCATGGGCGAATATCTTAGCTCACAAAAGTGCAACCAAAAACAATAAATAGAGTATCTTATAATCTAAATATATTTGCACCAAACCTTCAATTTTAGCTTCGAGCTCCGCACCCAGGGCCTTAGTACCTGCGGGTGGGGACCCGCTAAACTAAGAAAAATCTCCCCCGTTTTGAATGTAATAAACGTGGTATGTTTTGAATGTATTCAAAACCTTGGACCTTGGTATGAAATACAGTATTTGTATTATTATTATTTCTCATTTTTTAAAGTTTAGAACAACATAGATTGATTCTTTGGAATAGTGATCAAGGTTTCTCTGCCGTGCTCTTTTACTTGTGAATTCCAGGCTGGGTACGGTACTCATTTAATTTTATTTTATAAAATAAGTAGGGCTATTTATAAATTTAGCGTTTGGCTTCCATAACCTATTCTCCTCAAATTTTCTAAAATATTGCTTCTGTCGGGCGCATCCCAGATAATCACAATAAAAAGATTTTTAACACAATGTAGGTTCCTTTATTTAATTTAAATTGTTTGTTATATAGTTGGGCCAAAATATTACCTCTTCAAGTTTGTTGAACAACCCTGGGTTTCCTTAACGACCTGGGGGTTAAAAATAGAGTTTTATTTATAGCGAATAATAAATAGGAAATATACAGGTAAATAAAACCAAATGCAGTCATTAATCAATAACTTTGTTAAATTATGGAAATTGAACCTAAACGATGGTAATAAAAAATACTGCCTACATTACTACGTATATAAATAAAAATTTTAACAATAAAAATAACAAAAAATAAAATAAAATGCGGGAAAGATTCCATATAAGATCTTCGGCAGAACCCTTATCTCGTGAATTTTATGAATACAATTCGGCCTGAGATGCAAGTATATATTATGCCAAACGACAGAAGAAATAGCAAAAGTAATAAGCCCAAGCTCTTTGCGGAAAAATATACAGAGAATTGTGATTACTACACTAAACGATATTTCTTGGTAAAATTAAATTAAAGCAATTTACAGAATTGATGGCCAGTTTTCTTCCTGAAAGAGGAGGCATTAATCAAATGAATTTCGCTTGGTTTAAATTGGGTCTGCATGAAAAGAAGTTGATCGTAAACTACGTATGCAGTCTGGAAAAGGTAAATTTATTCGGTTTACTTGCTAAGGAAATTATTCCATTAGATGTGCAGACGTTAGACAGTGAAACAAAATAGTGGGAATCTATATACGGTAGCGTTGAGCTAAGTGCTCGGGTGCCTAAAAGCCATAACAAAATATAACAACAAACGATATAATTCAAACAAATATCCGTATTGCTTATAGAGCCAAGCTATTAACAGTTTGATTGTTTATACACTAATTATATTTTATAGTTAAATATAATTAATTTACATTAAATACAATGAAGCTAAATCCTCCTACGTCCTGTTTTGAAATATACAGGGTGTTTCAAAAAACATGTGCCATCTCTCGTGGGGAGATTCCTCACGTAAAAATAAAATTTATTTTTCATATAAACATAGGTCCGAGTCTGCTTTACTGCTCTGTCTCGTAGCTACAGGATGTTAAAATCTTAATATTTTTTCGATTTATTATAATTTTCTTCCAAGTACTTTTACCGTCACGAATGAAATTTTGAGGGTAGAAGTTACTATAAATGCGACATATTTTAATGCTAAAAAAGTGTCGACATATTCACCAGGGACGTGCATATGGGTTATCACTGGAATATTTTTCTAAAAAAAGCATGTACGCCACTGACGTTCTTTTCTCTTATTAGCGAATTAGTGTAAGCCGTTTAATACCGATTAAAAGTTGTCTCTTAATATTTTGTCGATTTCAGCCTCCTTGATGAGATAAACGCAATTTTACTAATTTTCCTTGATCCAAACCTAATAGCAACCTTTAAAAGGTTTTAATATCTAATCATTAACTTGCGAAAGTTTTAAATAAGTACTCATTGATTCCTCGTCAAAAAATATGAAAAAAATTTCCTATAAACATGGATATAGAAATGCATAGTTTTAGAGTTACAGGATGTTAAAACTTTTTAAAATTAAGTTTTTTCTAATATGTTTTTTGTAATATGTGTAATATGTTGTGTGTGTATCTTAAATACCATTATTTTTTTATTTGAAATTGCTGTAGGTTGGACTAATAGTAATAATAACTTATAGTAATAATAAATTAGGTAAAATATATAATTTATTAAGTTTAATTTTATTAATTGTGATAATAAAATTGCGTTTGTCATCAAAGAGGCCGAGTTCGACAAAATATCAAGAGATAACTTTTAATTGGCATTAAACGGCTTACACAATTTTGATATGAAAAGAGAGAAACACAGTGGTGCACAAGTTTTTTTTTGAAAAATATTCCATTGATAACCCATATGCACGTCCGTGATGAATCTATCTCCACTTTTTTAGCATTAAAATGTACTTTTACCCTCAAAATTTCATTGGAATCACTAAAAGTACTTGGGAGGAAATTATAAAAAATCGAAAAAATATTAAGACTTTAATACCCTGTAGCTACGAAACAAAGCATAATCGGACGTATGTGTATGAAAAATAAATCGTATTTTACGTGAGGAATCTCCCCACTAGACATGGCATATGTTTTTTGAAACACCCTATATAGAATCGGATTACTTCCGAGGATATTTAGGAAATTTATTTTGTTTTATTGTTTGATAACGTATCAGATGGTTACATCGGAGCTACTTTTTACGACGGTAATGATTAAGGCACTAAAATTAAAATAATCCTAATGAAAAATACTAAAAATATATAGGGTTGTATCAAAAAATATGTGTTTATGAATTTATAAGTTGTTCAATAGTTTAAAAAATAAACAAAAGATGTTATCGTGGGGACTATAATAAAAAAGAAGAATGAAATTATTGGGCAAACCTACAGTAAGATTAGCCATGAAACATGGCTAAAATACGATTACCTGTAGACACTTAGTGTTTCTGCCTTCCGGCTTCATCAGTACGGAAGGAATCAGCAAAGATGAACTAGCGATCCTGAAAAAAAAGGGAGCAAACGAGGCACTAGGTACCATTTGCAACCTGGTTAAGGAGTAGCTCACAATTCGCAAGCGTTACTACCAAAAAACCGCTGCGGGGGTACTTCAACATACCTCGCCGCTATCACCTTGGCCCAGAGAAAACAATAAACAAAAGATGTTATCATGGGGACTATAATAAAAAAGAAGAATGAAATTATTGGGCAAACCTACAGTAAGATTAGCCATGAAACATGGCTAAAATACGACTACCCGTAGACAAGGCAGAAACACTAATTGTCTACGGGTAGTCGTATTTTAGCCATGTTTCATGGCTAATCTTACTGTAGGTTTGCCCAATAATTTCATTCTTCTTTTTTAAAAAATAAATACATTTGAATTTTTTCCATTGGTATATAAATTATCTTTTAAATATATAAAAACCTATGAACAATAAACGCTCTTTTTGTGCGTGTGCTTGTAAAGCGACAGGTAACCTAATTTTCTAGTTGAATAACATTATTAATAGAACATTTATTTAAACAAAAACAACCTTCTAAAACTAGCTAACACAATGAACTATACAAAGTTTGCAAATTAGTTACTGGTTAGTTTATCAACTAAGTAGTTTCATTATTAATTTTAATCGGTTTTATTATACATTGGTGAAATGTGGTTATCAAATTGTTAACCTCATTTAAAATATTGTAAATAAAATTTAAAAATGTATAAGTTATTTAATATTCTTTTACCCGTGCGATTTTTAAATATTTAAATTATTCAAGAAAATGCGTTCATCGCACATTTAAAACCCGTTCTATTCTATTAATTTAACTAAAACCGTTGATAGAACCCAAACTTGGGATTATGGAAACTTGTAAAGCTTTCAATTTGACTACTTTAGCACGTATCTGAATTGAATATATTTAGTTTCATAACCTACTGATAAAACACTGCTTTGAACAAGTAAATTGAACTTTAAACTGATCTAACTTAATTCTGATGAGTTCTAATACTGAAAAAATATTTGCTTTGTGAAAAATGAACTGTCAAATAAAAAAGATATTTCAAATATACCTTATATTTTCTAAGGCTTCAACGTTACTTTTCTTTACA